TGTGTGTGTGTGTGTGTGTGTGTGTGTGTGTGTGTGTGTGTGTGTGTTAGGGTTAGTGGGGAGATATTTCCACACATAACAAGCTAAAACTGAACTTTAAAAAACCTTTCGTTTGCAACGGGCTGGATGTTATTCCATGATTGAATATTACACGAAGGTTGTGTATTTTAGACATTGATGCTAATTCGCTTTTTTGACTGAATGCGACTTTACTCATTCTGGTTTCATAATTATTATCTGGGCCTTTATGCCAACACTGGACAGGAGAGGGAAGATGGGAATGAGAAGAAGGGGAGGAGGAGGGGAAGGAAGGGAGAGAGGAAGGAGAGAGAGAAAGAAAGAAGGAAGGGAGAGAGGGAGGAGAGGAAGGAGAGAGAGAAGGAAGGAAGGAAGGAAGGGGGAGAAAGGGAAGGAGGGAGGAAAAAGGGAGGGAGGAAAATGGAGAGGGGAGGGGAAGGAAGGAAATAGGTGGGAAGGAGGGAAAGAAAGAAGGGAAGGAGGGAAAGAAAAGCGGAAGGCTTTTTTTTCCCTTGATATTATCTTTATAAAACATTATCAAGATAGATTTGGTATGATCTTATGATTCATTGCAAAATAAATTAAGTAAACTATAGTTATCTCGTTAAAATATGAATTAACAAAATTATAGATAAATTATTTTTTTTAGTGATGATATTAGGTTATACAATTATTGATTGACAATATGAGCTATTATGTAATATAATTATACTAGTGCCTAGGAAACGGATGCACAAAAAAAAGTGGTAAACTAATCGATGCACTGTACGTAAATTCATGAAGAAGGATATTTTTATGTTTTTTGTTGTATCTTTATGTTTATCTTGTTATTAAAAAATAAAAATATATATATAAAAAAAGCGGAAGGCAAAAGGAGATGAGGATGGACAGAGGAAAGGAAATGGGAATTAAAGGAGAGAGGAAATGAGGGAGGAAAGACAAGGGGAATGAGAAGGAGGGAAAGGAGAGGACGGAACAAGAGCAAGGGGGAAAGGACAGGACGGGGGGAAGAAAGGAGGTGGGAAAGGAAAGGAAGAAGGAAGGGGAAGAGGAAGAAAAGGATGAAGAAGGGAGGGGAAGAAAGAAAAAGGGGGCTGAGTGAGAGGGAGCCACGTTTCTGCTCCTCCAGCCCCCCAGGAAAGAAGGAAAGAAGAAGAGACAGAGGGAAGGGAAGGAGAGGAAAGGAAAGGAAAAGAGAGGAGAGGAGAGGAAGAAAAGAAAGAAGAAAAGAAAAGAAAAGAGAAAAGAAAAGATGAAAGAAGAGGGAAGGGAAGGGAACCCCCTCCTCTATTTATTCTCCCAGCCCCTCCCCACACCAGCAACACCAAGCACAAGGACCAAACCACCATTGGCCATTTTAGAAGGAATTGGGGGCTTTCAAAGGAGGCCTTGAAAGCCGCCCCCACCCCTCAGGCATCCCTCCCCGCACCCCCAATTCCTACCCCAACGAAAGGCCGAGACCCGGGCAATTGGAGCATTCCAGGTTCAGCCCCCGCCCCTCTCCTCTGGGGAAAAACAAGCCAGGATTCGGGGTTTGCGGGCTGCAGGAGGGAAACCCCCCCCCCCCCCCCCCCCCCCCCCCGCCCCCAACCCCCCCGGGCTTGCAAAAGCGAAGAGACGACGCGCTCCCCAACCTGGCTTCTCTTCTGCAAGTTTCTGCCTGTGGGAATTCCCAGAATCCTCAGCCGGCCCGCTGGGAATTCTGGGAGAGGCTGTGCCAAACCCAGCTGGAGGTCCTTGGGTTGCAAAAATAATAATAATAATAATAATAACGGGTTCGAGGAATGCAATTTTGCAAAAATTTTGATGCAAAAAGAAAAGGTGGGTTTTTGTTTTTCGGCACAGCAACCCTAGAGGGCGCGTTTCTCTCTGCTGCCCCCTGCTGGGCGCCGGGGTGGTTGCAGCCCGTGACGTGTCCGGATTTGCAAGTCCAGACTTGCCTTCCTCCCCGTTGCAATAGGGCAAAAAGGGGGCAAGCGCCCTTTTGCAACCTGGCGCCCTCCGAGGTGTTGTTAGTGCCTTAGGGCGCCCCCTAGCGGGCCTCTGGATCTTTCCCAGCCTTTTTTTGGGGGGGGGGCTCCAATGGCGGGGTGGGGGTTCGGGGGGGGGCGTTATTGCAAGATGGATACATAGGTTCAGCTTCAGCAGGGGTCAGCAGATGAATCTTACAGATAATCGGAATTGGAAGGGACCTTGTGGGTCATCTAGTCCAACCCCACCACCACCACCACCCCTGGCAGAGGGAAGGGACCCCCCCCCCTCAGCAAAGCCCACTCCAGCCAAGCACCCACAATTCAAGACTTTTCTCCCTGGTGCAAAATTAATCAAACAGTGCTTAAATCAGACAATTAAAATTTATATTAAAATTAAATCAAACAATGCTTTTGGAGAATTGCAATCACACAACATGTTTCCCCCACTGATTAAAAGAAAAGGAAAGTCCTGCACTTACGCAAGAAAACCCCAAAAAGACACATACAGACTGGGTGAAACCAGGACTCAATAGCAGGAACTGGAAGAGGAATCTTGGAATCTGAGTGGACAACCAGCTACATAGGAGCCAGCCGTGTGCAGCAGCAGCCAAAAAAGCCAATACAATAATACGTTGCATTAACAGAGGGATTCAATCGAGATCAAGGGAGGTACTAATACCACTCTGTAAAGCTTTAGTAAGGCCACACCTAGAGTACTGCATCCAGTTTTGGTCACCACACTATAAAAAGATGTTAAAACTCTAGAAAAAGGGCAGAGAAGAGCAACCAGGAAGATGAGGGGACTGTATGCTTAAACATACAATGGACGGTTGCAGGAACTGGGCCTGGCTAGTCTAGGGAAGAGAAGGACCAGGGGAGACAGGAGAGCATCTTCCAATATTTGAGGGGATGCCCCAGAGAGGAGGAAGGGATCAAGCTATTCTCCAAAGCACCCGAAGGCCAGACAAGGAAGAATGGATGGAAAGTGAACAAGGAGAGATTCAATCTGGAAATAAGGAGGAATTTTCTGACAGTTAGACAGCCAGATAGATGGTAGTTTGGTAGGTGGATGGAGGTAGGGAGGGAGGTAGATAGATAGATAATAGGTAGGTAGGTAGGTAGATAATAGGTAGAAAGATAATAGGTAGATAGATGGATAGGTGATAGATAGTAGATAGCTAAGTAAATATAGAGAGATAATAGGTAGGTAGGTAGGTAGGTAGATAATAGGTAGATTATAGATAGATGATAGATAGATAGATAGATACGTGGATACATGGATAGATAGGTGATAGATGGTTGATAGGTAGCTAAGTAGAGAGAGAGAAAGAGAGAGAGAGACAGATAAATATAAATATAAAGATGGATGGATGGATGGATGGATATTATGCTTCCTGAGCATTTATACTGGTGAGTTTCCCATAAATTCTCAAGGCAGGATAACACACCACCGTTGCTGCATTCAGATGATATCACACTCCAACAAACAATGTTTCTACTGTAAAAAGTCCCATAGAGCTTTTTCTAAAAGCCACTTGAAAACTTACCAATAAAACCTCAATCTGAAAGGAAGCTCAGGTGCTAAACCTGTCAAAGTCAAACCCCAAAGAATGTTGCCCCACCCCACCCTCACCCCGCCCCCCAAAAAAACATCCTGTTGCACAGTAATTAAATCTGACAGGAGCCTGAATTTTCAATGATCGATTTTTTTTCGACCTGTTTGGACAGATGGCCCTGTAGGAAGCAACATCAGTAAATCGTGCCTGGATGGATATAATTTGGAAAAGTTGCACCTCAAATACCTAAATTCTGTTCCGGCTTGGAAAATGTCACTTTTCAAAAAAACTAATATGCTGGATTTTGGAAAGCAGAGAAGAGCGAAAAGAAGGAAATAGACAGGTACTCTCAGCTTAAAATAGTTCATTAAGTCACCCGTCCAAAGTTACAACGGCACTGAAAAAAGGGGACTTATGACCATTTCTCACACTTAATGTCCACAGCAGCATCCCGGTGGTCACCTGATCCAAATTCAGAAGCTTGGCAACTGGCATGGACTTATGACAGTTGCAGTGTCCCAAGATCACGCGATGATCCCCTTTTGTGATTTTCTGGCAAGCAAAGTCGATGGGAAAAGCCAGATTCACTTATAACAACCGGGGCACTCATTGATCTGCTGCAGTGGTTCCCTTAACAAGAAAATGGGCAGGAAAGGTAAAAATGTGGCAAAACTCACTGAACGACTGCCTCGCTCAGTGACAGAAATTTTGGGCTCCATTATGGTCATAAGTCAAGTACCCTGTTTCCCCGAAAATACAACCTACCCTGAAAGTAAGTCCTAGCTTAATTTTTACATGTGTGCCCAATATAAGCCCTACCCCTCAAAATAAGCCCTAACTAAGATCCTGCCCACTCCAGAGTGGACAGGTAGAAATTAAACTAGGATAAGGATGGGGGGGGTGG